CTACGGACGGGAACCACTTACACCACAGCAACCGACCACACCGGCACACGTCCAAGCCGCACATGACTTCGTCACCATCATGCAGCAGCTATGGGAGAAGACTCAGCGACGACTCACCACGATGCAGACCTCCCAGAAGCAGTATGCCGATCGTCAGCGACGAGATCACTCAGTAGCAGTCGGAGATCAGGTGCTTCTCGACACGCGCAATTTGAACCTGTCTCACCTACCATCCAAACTCCGGCCCCGCTTCTGTGGTCCTTTTCTCGTTGAGGCACAGGTGACACCAGTTACATTCCGCTTGCGCTTACCTACTACGTGGAAGCTTCACAATGCTTTCCATGTTCAGCTACTGAAGCCCTACAAGGACCCCAACCAATAGTTCCAGGGACGGCAGCTACCGCCACCACCACCTGTTCTCATACAGGATGAACCAGAGTACGAAGTGGAGCGCGTTCTCACTCATCGGCGCCGCGGCGGCAAGACCCTCGAGTTCCTGATACGCTGGAAGGGTTATGACCCCACAGAGGACAGTTGGGTTGCAGAAGCTGATATGGGCAACGCACGCCGTGCTCTCAAGGACTATCTTGTCAAGTAGGGTGTTTCTCACGCCACCCAGCTTTGAGGGGGGGACGTGTGAGAGTACGACGGCTTATGCTGGCTTTGCTAGCTTGCTTGGACTTTATTATGCTATATCTAGCTTGGGTTTATTTTATCATGCATAGATATGCTTGATTTCCTAGGTTAGGTGCATTCCTATATTTTATTATAGTTATAGCACCGAACCAGGTTACGTGTACCGAACTCAAGCCTATTCGGTTTCCACCGAATTGCTTTCTACTGAGTTCGGGAAGGTTCTGTTCGGGACGCTTCGCGACCCTCAGAACATTCGCGTAACACCTGGGTTACCTGCCTTGTGTCGAGCCTATATATAGCCTCGTGTTGTACCCAGGTGGATCATTCAATTCAAACCCACTTTTCTGAGCTCGATCCTAGATCGTCACACGGACTCGTCAAACCGGACGTCACGGGAGTCTAGGAACTGGTGGAGGGGCGGATGGTAAAAGGACCAGTCGGCAGAGCCCACCGGGAAACCAAGGAAGACACAGGGGACGGCGCGTGCCGAGAGCTTGTCCGCGGAGGTGTCGCGAACAAGCGCAAGGCAACCCCAGACACGAAAGACCGACCCAACACCAGGGGACGCGGTCCAAAGACTGGTCGGTGAAGCCTCGGGCCGTGAGACGCGCGGCTGGAGGTTCAGCTGGTGTGCGGCGTAGCAAACCGCGTAGGGCCACAAAGGTGCGTGGGAGACCGGTGACAAGCCCGTGAGTGGTCATCCCGCAGAGGCGGGGGATCGACGGGTGGCCAAGGCGGTGGTGCCACAAGACGGTCCGGTGGGTGAGGGGCCGACAGGAGCAGGACGCAGCAACTGGACTAGACAACGCGACCTGACTAGACACTGCAACTGGACTAGACACGACCACCTGGCGAGACACAGCAACCGGACTGGACACCTGGACTGGAGGGGACGCAACGACCTGAGCGGAGGACGCAACCGGAGAGCGCTCGGTGTGGAGAACGTAGAGACCGGAGCGGGGCTCTCTGGTGAACGTGGCCAGAACAGCACCTGTGGCAGCGTCTGTACAGACCACAGTCCTCCCACCCCCCACAAAGGTAACTGTGATCCCCCTGTCCTGGAGGTAACCAACACTCACCAAGTTCCGAGTGAACGAGGGGATGTGGAGGCCGCGCAGGACACCAGAGGGGACCACAGGACACCGGAGGGTAGTGGAGCTACGCGCAACGGCTGGTCCTGAGGTAGGATCAGCCAGAGCCACCGAAACAGGAGTGAGGAGTGGCGTGAGGGTCGTGTGGTCGCGGAAGAAGAACTGAGACGCACCAGAGTCCAGCGTGAAGGACAGGGACGCCTCAGCCGGAGGGTCACCTGTCCTAGTGGCTACACAAGCACCTAGAGCAGCAACACAAGCACCTATAATAGAAAGGCACAAGTCTACACTAGTAGGAGGCAAGCAAGCTAATCTATGAACGCGCGAGCACACAGATCCATCAGCACTATAGTCAACATCAGCATACAAAGCGTGCTGACAAGCATCGTCCATGGACAGATCAAACACATCAATCTTACGGGCTAACAGGCGAGCCCAGCGAGGCGTGGTTGCCGTAGGGCCCCAACGAGCACGGTAGAGGTCGTCGAGGCGGCGGAAGCACCGCGCGGCAGAGTGGTCGTCACGGCCGCAGAGACAGGGGCTGCCAGGTCCGGTGAGGCACCAGTGGGTGCAGGGGCCAGTGTCACGGCGAGGGGGGCGAGGGGCCTAGCTGGAAGTGCTGCCGCTGCGGTCGGTGCTCTCTGGTCCTCCCGGACCCCACTGCGGCGGGGGACCCCAGTGCTGCTGCGGACCCCACTGCAGTGGGGGCCCCCACTGCTGGAACTGCTACGGTGCCTGATGCTGCTGCGGTCCCTGCTGCTGCTGCTGCTGTCCCTGCTGTGGCTGGTGCTGCTGCGACTGCTGCTGCTGGGGTCCAACACCCCCACCGGTCGGGCCACCGCCAGTGGGCGGGCCTGTCTGTCCTGCACCTCCTCCAAGGCCCCCTCCTCCTGGTGCACCTCCGCCGCCGCCACCGCCACCGCCTCCACCACCGCCGCTCCCACCTCCACCGCCACCTCCACCGCCGCCTCCACCGCCTCCACCTCCCCCCTTCCCGCCCTTCTTGCCACTCTTGCCCCGTTTCTGCCAGTCTGCGGCAGAAACGGCAGCAGTGTCATCAGAAACCGACACAGCAGCAGAAGCGCGGGTAGCAGTGAAAGTGGGAAGCTGAGGAGCAGCACACCCCGCAAAGAGATGGGGGGCCACCGCGTCAGTGGCGGAGGCAACGGTGAGGAGGCTACTCTCGATCGTCCCAAGAGCAGTCTCAAGGAGATCGATAGTGAGCTCAGTGGGGTGCTTATGTAGAAGCGCGTCGCGAGCAGTGGCAAGGCGGTCAGGGAGGCGGGTGACTAACCAGTGCACAGTGAGCCACATGGGGGGGGGGAGCAGCAAGAAGCTGGGCGTCGGTACATGCCGCTCGGAAACCGGCGTCAAGTGAGCAGAGGTGAGTCACTAGGTCGGACACAGTCGCAAACGAGCCGAGGTCGGGAAACACGAACGGCATGAGGAGGCGACTGAGGGAGGCAGAGGAAGGGGTGGAATAGCGTGCAACAACAGCATCCCAAACCCCCTGAGTTGTCTCCACCTGGGCAAAGTGGACGGCCTCAGTCGGTGGGAGGAGCTCCGTCAGCGCAAGAGCAGTGGCAGTGTCGCGAAAGTCCCACACGTCCCGCGCCAAGACACGACGGTCGTAGTCCGCCTGCGCCGCAGGAGTCGGCTCCGGGTCGGTCGGGAGGGGGTCGGGAGACACGGGCGCCTTGAGGGCACCAGACGCGTGGGCCCACAGGGTGGCGCCGTCCTGACGCTGACTGGTGAGGTAGCGCGTGGCCTGGCGCTGCCAGGTACTGAACTTGATCGGTCACCCCTCCGCATCGAAACGAAGGCGACGGGAGGAGTCCATATTGGACGCTAGGCTAGGAACGGCGGAGGTGAACCTAGGAGTCCTAGGAGCACCAGTGGAGGAGGAAACCGGGCTAGGGGCTAGAGGCTAGGAGCTAGGTGCGACCCGGGTCGAAATCTAGTGACCGGAGCGAGAAGCGGCTGCCAGCCGCTGAGTGAGAAGCCAGTAGCAGTACGAACGGTTTTAGCCCGGGGGACAGGGCGGTGGCTAGGTGAGAAGGGGCGGTTGGGACGTTAGGAGGAGGTGGCGCGTGGGTTAGGGCGCGGCCGTTGGCGAGGGCGTTGGTAGGGCGCGGGCTAAGGCGAGGGCGCGGGCCTAGGCGAGGGCGCGAGCTGGGGCGACGAGCTAGGGCGCGGGCCTGGGCGACGGGCTAGGGCGCGGGCCTGGGCGACGGGCTAGGGCGCGGGCCTGGGCGACGTGCTAGGGGCGCGGAGAGCGCTGACGCGCGGAGGAGGAGGGCGCTAGGGCGCGGAGGGCGCGGAGGGCGCGGAGGTGCGCTAGAGAGGGCGCGGGCTAGGAAGTAACAAGGAACTAACCTACTCGTGATACCATCTCAAAGTTAGAATGCAACGGAATGACTGAATTAGGGTTGGGAAGGATACAAATAGGAAACCTACCAAAGCTGTACTCACTAGAGAGTACCTCACTGCAGCCTATCACAAGATTAACATTTGACATTGATGTTTAGGTCATTTGCTTATTGGTACACGGGCACTGCAAGTGAGCAGCCAGCTGATTTGATTTCACCGTGCAAGGAGACTTTATATATTTTAGCATCATGTTCAAACATGTTCGCCTGCCTTCCGCAACACAATCACCCCGACGTGGCTTCAAAAGTCCAAAGACATAATGCCAAGCACGTTGAGACAGTGACTAGCCTCCGCCATTGAAGATACTTCAGGGGGCATAGCTGCACAGCTGACAGCTAGCTCTGCAAAGCTGCACATAGGAATGAAAGGGAGAGAGAATTATCGTAAGCGAGCCGAAAAGAAAAGTGGGGAAAAATGAATAAATAAAGGTGCATTGCACCACGCATACAGACAGGGCCATACCTTAACATGGTAGATGGTGTGCGCTTGATTGCGAGGGAAGGATCTGCTAAATTCAGCAGACGTGTGCAGTCCATGCGCTCGCATGCCAATTTGACCTGCAGGGATGGATGTGGTTCAAGCATTGATTTTTGGGATGCTGTTGGAGAGCTACACCAGCAGGGTGTGTGTAGTGCATGCAAGTGCATGCATGTGCATATGACACCACATGAACTACATCCAAACACTGATGCATTGCAGGCGATAGATATGCACACATGAGTATGTGCATCCAAAGAGGCATTAGCATTTATAAAAAAAGAAAGAGAAGAAAAGAAAAATGCACTGTTCATGGTAAAACACAAAGCTGTTCTACCTCTTGAACGACGGGTAACTGATCTCACATCATGCACCCCACCTCTCATTACTCACCTCAGCCAGCAACCGCTGGGCATCGGACGCAAGGGCAGCAGAGGACGAGGCGGAAGGTGATGATGAATTTGATGGAGATGAGAGAAAGGGGTCATGGCCGGTGAGGAGATGGAGGAGAATGAGACCGAAACTATGGATGTCCGATGCTATGCACTCCACCACCTCAGCTGCCATGTCAGGAGCCACGTCATCAGAAGAATCTCCGCGAAACTCCCTGCAGGCATGGAGAAAGAAACGGAGACAAAGGGATGAAAAGGCACTCCCTCCAAGCTATCCCAATCCCTCTCCGTCAACTGCCTCTGCCGCACCTAACCCTACTTTCCACCAGCCAATCCCTCTGTTTCCTCTCTGCGTTGCCCACCCACATGCCTCTCAACCTTGCAGGCAGCTTTTGTAATGCTGCACCCAACCTCGCACTCCCCCTATTCCCACCTGCGGTGCCCCAGCCTCCTCAGCCTGGCAGCAGCAAAGCGGCCAACACGCGGCTTCTCCCACTTCTCACCTACCTTGCTCCTGACTTTTGAGTCGACTCAAAAGTCACCGATCCTCACCTGCGGTGCCCCAGTCTTCTCAGCCTGGCAGCAGCGAAGCCACCGACACGTGGCTTGAGGTCCGCCCCAAACAACACGTGGCGAGAGGAGAGCGCGCCATGTGGCAGCGGGGGATCGCACGAGTGGGCGAATGTGAGAGCTCGGGCTACCGACCGTGCCACCTGTACCCTTGCAGGCCAGTCCAGTAGAGGGGGGGAGGAGGCTGGAGAACAAGCGGGGGCGGTGGGGAAAGAGGGAGAAAGGAAAAATGGGGAAGGCAAATTGCACGTGAGTTGTTAGGGCGTAGGCGAGTACACGAGTGGGCAAATGTGGACGTTCATGCTACAGATCGCGCCACCTGTACCCTTGCAGGCCAGTCCAGTAGAAGGGGGGAGGAGGCTGGGTGCAGGGCAGGGTTGCGAGGAAGAGGGAGTAAGGAGCATTGAAGCGATTAGGAGTGGGGAGTCGCAGGAGTGGGCGAATGCGAGAAGTCAGGCTTCCAATATGCAACGTGCACCGTTACAGGCCAGTCGAGCAGTGGGGGGGAGGAAGGGGGAATTGGTGGGAGGGGGAAACGGGGACGATATTATTTTTGGCTTGATGCACTCCTGGCACTCGCGCGCTCACAAAAACAGAACAAACCAAGTGGGAAAGGAGGGAGGCAGGGAAGCGGAAAAGCGAGAGACAGCCAGCCGATGTGGCGAACCTGGCCGACACAAGTGAAACACCTGAAGAAACACCTGAAGGAACACCTGAAAGAAAAGCTGAAGGATCACAAAAAAATCGCCTGGAGATCCAGCTGAAGAAACACATCGGACGAACCTTTGAGCCACTGGAGCAGGGTCCCCTGCGACATGTGGGCTGTCGCTACAAGACAAACGTTGCCGGCCAGCAGCTTGTAGCCCAGAGTGTCGACGATGTGTGGGTGGGAGAGGTGGGAGAGCAGTTGCATGTGCTGTGAGATGTGGGCCAGGGAGAGCTGGGACAGTGGGAAAGTGGGCAGAGGGAGGGGGGAGGGGGGAAGTTTAGGGACCTCTCAAGGGTGGGAGAGGTGGGAGAGCAGATTCATGTGCTGCGAGATGTGGGCCGGGGAGAGCTGGGACAGGGGCGAATTAATGAGAGGGAGGAAAGGAGGAAAGAGAGTTTTGAGACGTCGCAAGAGTCGGAGAGGTGGGAGGACAGACGTATGTGCTGTGAGATTAGGGCAGGGGAGAGCTGGGACAGGGGGAAAGCCAGGAGGAGGAGGGGCACGCGGAGGGAGAGGGAGAGTGGGGAGATGAAAGGGGGGTTGGGAGTACACATGAGATGGGGACGGATGAAAAATGGAGAATAGCTTAAGTAGCATTCATGCTCACCCAGTTACATTCATGCTCATGTAAGCTATTCTTGTCTCAAACAGACTCTTTCCCTCACCCCGGTTTCTCCCATCCCCAGCTTACCTGCCCGATCACCACTCGCTCCACATCCACAGTCTCCCTGGATGGCAGCATGGCAGTAGTAACGGCAGCAGCTGTGACTGCTGCTGACTGCGCACCTAACCCACCCCCGTCCACCGCCTCAGCGTGCATGCCTCGCTGCTTCTTCCTCGTCTGCTCGGTATCAGCAAACGATGACCCGCCCTCTCTCGTTGCCTCGGCCGCACCACTTAGCTCCGCCGTGCCCCGTGGCTGGACCTGGCCGCTTCCCATGGCTGCAGGTAGCTCATCAGCACGTGGCAAGGGGCCCAAGGAGGGGTGCTTCTGTTGGCTGTATTGATGCCCGTGATTGATCCCTGTCCCATGCTGCTCTGCAATGCCTCTCTGCTGCTGCTGCTGCTGCTGCTGATGTTGATGTTGTTGCTGCTGCTCCTGCTGCTGCTGCCGCAGCTGCTGCTGCTGCTGCTCCTGCTGCCGCTGCTGCTGCTGTTGTTGCTGTTTCTGCTGCTGCCGCTGTTGCTGAAATTGCTGCTTCTGCAAGCTAGCCTGTGCTGCCAGCCATCCCATGTGCTCCTCAACGGATGGAAGCACTGCACTCGCTGCATCACGCATGCCCATGTCCATGCCCGTGCCCCTTGCCACGCCTGAGCTCATCTGTTCGGTCAAGCCCATCGCTGTGCTCACGCCGCTAGCAAGAGCCTCCTCACGCTGGTTCTCCACTGCTCTGTGTTGCTCTGCAACCGGCTGCCTCCTCTTATCCATGCTCATGCCGCTGCCCACACCTGAGCTTATCTGTTCAGCCAAGCGCATCGCTGTGCTCACGCTGCTAGCAAGAACGTCCTCCACTGCTCTATGCTGCTCTGTTACTGCTTGCCTCCTCCTCTCCTCTCTGCTCTGGTTACGATGTTGTTGCTGTTGCTGCTGCTTCTGCTGCTGTTGCTGCTGCTGCTCCTGGTGCTGTTGTGCTTTCTTCAGCCTAGCATGCTGCTGAAGGGGTGGCATCGGCTGCTGAAACGGCAGCATGTGCTCCTCAAGGGGCGGCATGTGCGGTTGAAGGGGAGGAATTGGCTGCTGCTGCTCCCGGTGCCTCTGCTCGTGTGACGGGATGAACTGCCGGTGATGAGGTGACTTTTGAGTCGACTCAGAAGTTTGCTCGTGTGCCGGGATGCTCTGCCGGTGACCCGTCCCCAACTGCGCTCTCCCCCCAGCCTGCTCCACCTCCTCCTCAGAACGCTCTTGCTTCTCTTGTTTCTTCACGTGCCAAGGCCTATCCCTGCCCTGTCTCTCCCTCTCCACTTCACCCCACCCCTCCCTCCCGCCTCGCCTCGTCTTCCTCCTCGCCTCCCTTCCTTGCTGCCCCTTCCCACCCAAAGCTGCTCGACCAACACTGGGCCCTAGACTGCCCCTATCCATTTTCTCATACCCCCTTCCCTTTCCCCACTCACCCACCCACACACTCTCCTCGTCCCCTCCCTTTCTCTCCCCACGCCGGCCCCCACAGAGCCCGCCGCACAAGCCCCCACACACATCCCCGCAGCAGCCCACTGCAGCGAAGAGCAGCAGCAGTATGAGCCCTATCGCTAGCACGCCCCCCACCGCCGCCCCTGTGATGGCCAGCTGTTGCGCGTTCATTAACTGAGGGGGTGGGGCTGGAATACGGGGAGGGATAGACGGGAGAGAGACAGTATGAGCGCTATTGCTAGCACGTCACCCACCGCCGCCCCTGTGATGGCCAGCTGTTGGCTGCTCATTGGCTGAGGAGGTGGTTCTGGAATGTGCAGGGGGATAGAAAGGAGAGAAAGAGAGGATGAGACCTATCGCTGGTACACCACCCACTGCTGCCCCTGTGATGGCAAGCTGTTGCGCATTCATTGGCTGAGGGGGTGGGGATGGATTGTGGGAGGGGAGAATGGGGAGAAGAGGGGAGAAGGGGAGATGAGGAGAGAGGAGGGAGAGGAGGGGAGAAGGAGGAAAGACGAGGAGAGCACAATAAAGCTTTGGGCAGGGAAAGCAAAAGCCCAACTGGAAGATCCTGTTTTCAGAAATCACACTTGTTGCCATCAGCTAACTCTTCCCAGAAAAATGGGCCAGCAATCAGGAAAAAGGGCCAGTTTAGCCTTGTCAGAGGTTTCTTACCAGCAACCAGGGCAGTTGGCTCGTCTGATTGGTCCGAAGGGGCTGAAGCAGTAGCAGGGGAGGCAGGGGCTACTGGTCTCGCAGAGGAGGACGGAGAAGACCGGGGAGGGGGGTTTGGGGAACGGGGAGAAGGACTGGTGCCCGGTGCGCCAGCAGCAGTAGCAGCGGTCAGGTCTGGTGAAGAGATGTTGGAGCTTTGAGCTGGTGGGGCTGGTGGGGCTGCAGGTGCGTCTGGGTCTGCCTGCCTGCTTGGATCGCCTGCAGGAGGATTGGGATGCAATTAAGCAGGCAGGGAGGAACACACACAAAGGGGCGGTTTGGAATAGGAAAGAAAGGGGGGCGGGGCGGGCAGGTACAGTATACATGACTCAGAGCATTCCTGGTTCGTGGTCAATGGGGCAGACTTTTGTTGCGTAACGAATCAGGGGAATCGGGACAAACACAAGAGGGAAGAGGGTGTGTATCAAAGTGCATATTGTGAATGGAGTAAGCCTTCCAGGAGTGCAAGTGCAGGGGCCAATAACGCCTGTGACAAGGCAGGCACACTTGCAGCCCTTTCATGCGCAAATGCCCAGGCAGCATGTGCGGCGGTGGGTGCAAGAGCAGCATGTGCGGCGGTGGGTGCAAGGGCAGCATGTGCAGTGGGTGCAGGAGAACTCAAACGTGGGTGCAGGGGCACTCACGAACCAACCTACCGGGAGTGCAAGTGCAGGGGCCGAAGACGCCGGTGACGAGGCACACTTGCAACCCTGGGATGGCGACGACCGGAGCAGGCAACGACAGGCGGGCGGGAGCAGCAGCAGCAGGGCGGTGTGAGGGGGCAGATTCACTGGCAGCAACGAGTCTAACAGTGGCGGAGGGGGTTCTTGCTGCAGAAGCAGCAGCAGTGGGTGTAGCAGCGGCAGGAGAGGATGCAGCAGCAGCAGGGGCAGAAGCAGTGGTGGCAGTGGCGGTAGGGGCTGCAGCAACAGCAGCGGTGGCAGGAGCAGTCGCAGTGGCAGTGGCGGCAGCAGTAGAGGAGTGGTTGCGCTGTGGTGTTGCAGCGGGTGAGGTTGGTTGTGTGAGGCACACACACGGCTGCTGCTGGCCTGCGAATAGGCAGCGTTGGGAGGGGGACGAGGAAGCAGAGACCGGAGAAGAGGAGGAGGAAGGGGAGGATGGTGAGGGCGAGGGACTGGGCACGGGTGGTGGAGATGTGCGTGAAAGGGGTGCGGGAGAGGGAGGGGAGGAGGAAGAGGGGGAGTCTGGCGGCAAGGGAGCGGAGGAGCTTGGCAGAGAGGGAGGAGAAGGGCAGAAAGAGGGGGTAGAGGGGAGAGAGGGAGTGAGGGATGGGGGAGAGGATGAGGGAGGGGGGGGCGCGGAGGAGGGCGGAGGTTCTGAGGAGGAGGAGAACTGGAAGGGTAGGGAGAAGCTGAAAGGGGGAGACGAAGGGACCAGAGGGAGGGGATTTGGGCCGGTGGGGAGGGTGGGAAGAGTACTGGGCTGCAGTTGAGACGAGGGGACATCAGCTGCTGTAACAGGCGCAAATGATGAGGGAGCGGAGGATACAAGCTGCTGATTGGTTGAAGCAGGAGAGGGGGGCAGAGACGCTTGTGTATTGACTGCTGTCCCTGCTGCAATCTCCCCGATCCCCCCTCCTCCTGCTCCCACACCCCCACCCCCTCCTGCTGCGTCCCCCCCTGACCCTTGTAAAGACTGTGCTGCTGACGTGGCTGGAAGCGCTGATGATGACGTGGAGGGAGTTAGAGGCGGGAGGATGGATGGAGGTGTTGAAGGGAGACTGGGAACACCAGAGGAGGAGGATGAAGAGGAGGAAGGGGAGAAGAAGGGGAAAGGAAACGGCTGAGCTGCACACAGTGAAGAAAATTGGCACATAAAGAAACAGGACGATCGGGTCGTGTGAACGAAACCATAACTTGATCCCGTCAATCAACCCTCGAATCCAAACAATCCTAAAAGAAAAATAAACAATTCATTCTTGGAATCAATCGAATCAATCCACCTTCGGATCCAATCAAATCGCTCCATCCTTGTGTTCAATCAGATCTTTCCACCTTCACATCCAATCGAATCAGCCCACTCTCGAATCGACCACATGATCCTCCATACCTTGTGAGCGTGCAGGCAGCAGGAGGAGAAGCAGCAGCAGCAGGTGCAGCATTGTTCCTGGCCAGAGGGGCAGGCTACAGCCGAAAACAGTGTGAGTTCTAAACCGCGTCGCACCACTCATCCCACCACCACCCCTGTTCCTATCCACGCCCCTTGACGGAAACGACATTCGTACTTGAATAATGATGGCCGCTGCCAGCCTAATAGCAGCCGCATACGCCTCAAGCTGCTAGCACGTGGCTCAATAGCAGTCTCCCACTGCTGTCTGGCAAATAACAGCCTAAAAGCGGCAGCATATCTGCGTCAATCTGCTGGTGATCCATCTCCCTGCTTTATCTAAACAACCACGTTTCCTGTCCGGGTTAATCTCACGCTTGGTAGGAAAGAATGATTCGCCAGACTTGGGTGGCGTTTCTTTTTGGCTGGCGAACCTGCTGCTTCAGGCACGCTACAGGGTGCACGAGCGTTAGTTCCAGTGATGCACACGACACGTTTGCTAATAGTGCTGTGCAGTGAGATGGGTTACTGGGTGAAGCGGGATCAAGAGTAAGCAGCTTGAAGGCTAACCACCTCAGACAGCTGCGTGTGATCCCAACTGCTCTCGCCTGCGTCAACACCCCTGAAGGAAGCTAAGAAGTTTAGGATTGCAGTCAAGGGAGAGGGGAGGAACAAGGCTCCAGAGAACGGCATGGTGCCAGCGGTAGGTGGCATTAGGTGGCAGGCGGTACTCTGATTTCCGTGCAACAGCGTTGGACGCGATACGTCGGTGGCCCTGGTCCACCATGGAGCAACGCGGCTGCTGCAGATGCACCGTCCGAGCCGCCCTGGAGCATCGCTGCGAGCGCGGCCCGAGGGCGGGATGATTGGTCGCAGGCAGAAACGCCGCGAGAGGCATCATCATTGGAGACAGGGAGGCGGTAGGAGCGACTCTGACGAGTGACGGCGACGTGATGGTTGGTCGCAGGCAGAATCGCCGCCACGAGAGACATCGTTGGAGACGGGGAGGCGGTACGAGCGACGCTGGCAGGGGGCGGCGACGTGCTGGACGGTGCGGGACGGTCCTGGACGGTGCTGGACACGGTCCCGATACCGACGAAGCGACACTCTGGAGTGAACGACATTGCTGAAAGCAGCTGGAGAGAACTCGACGCGAACAATCTCGCGCGAGAGAGCTCGAGAGGAACGCGTCTCCTTGAATTCGACGACGCGGACAGGTGACAAGCGGCAAGGCTTCTGAGACAAGCAGCCATAGATTCGTTTCCATTCACTGTGCTGGCTCGTTCTGCACGCCGTTGGGAGGTTCCTTCGCAACACTAGTTGACGCTGATCCACATCTCGGTTGTAAAACCTTGGATTTGCACGAAGATTTGACCGGAGACTACTGTCGACATTGCAGTTGAGGACGAGCTTCTAGGAGTTGACGGAAAGTTGTGACCGTTGGAGCTTGACATCCCACCGATCGAGGAACTCTGGCATTTTCGTTTGCGTTACAAAAAGGTGCTCTGGGCATTTTAGTGGTGTTTTGAGCATCTAGAGCGGTTGGGTAGGGTATTACAGCATAAGCCAGCTTTTGGGACGGTTGTACCAACACTCTCGGGAAAGTCAGACGAATTTGAATGGCAGTGTCAATTTCCAGTTTCGCGACAATCCCAAGGGCGGGTTGGCTGGGTGCCATATGCTCACGTACGCGCTGCTGAATACTTCTGATTGTGAAACAGGATACAAACCGATGGATGAATACATTGGCTTCTCCATTCTTTCACCAAAATTATTGGTGATGTGACAATGTCCAGTGAACGACTGACCAAAACAACCCATGCATGATGCAACTCATGAATGTACTTCGGTTCATAAGCAAAAATAATGTTCTAGAAGAGGAGACAAGTTACGGTAATATAGCATGTTTCACAGCGGCAAAGCAGTGGCTGCTGTCGATGCAGCAAGCAGGGCAGCAGCAGTAGCAGCAACGCCAAGAGCAGCGGCAAGCGACACAGTAACCATCTCTGGTTGCCTCTGCAGGAAGTCCTGCACTGAAATGCCCGTGTTCGGCGTGCGCCCCGCCCCCCGCGTGGCGATCTGCTCCGCACACTGCTTGCCCGACAGCACCGCCCCCTCCATTGATGCCAGGTACCTCTGTTGGTGGGATGCAGGGGAGAAAGGGAGCAGAGGAGTGGGACAACAGGATGAGGAGCATGGAGAGCAGCAGCAGTGGCAGCAACCCCCGCGTGGCGATCTGCTCCGCACATTGCTTGCCCGACAGCACCGCCCCCTCCATTGATGCCAGGTACCTCTGTTGGTGGGACAAGGGGAGGAAAGAAGAGGAGAAGGAGATTCAGAGAGGCAGGCAAGGGAGCCAGCAGACAGAAAGTCAGAGATGGCAAATGGGAATGAATGGAACTAGGGGGGGCAACACACAGGCAAGCGATGGCCAAATGAGGTAGGTTGCTCCATGATCCATCCCTTGGCCTCAGTTGGGTCAGTCATGAGGGGAAATGTAGGATCTTTGAGAAAAATAAACACTGCTCTATCCATGCTGCATCAGTTGGGGCCAAGGAAAACACCATTCACTCAACCCCACCCCCTCCCTCTTCCCACACACACACACACAACCCGCACAACCCCCCACACACAGCACACACCACATGCACACGCACCTGCATGGTGAAGCAGCCAGCGAGGTAGAAGTTGGAGATCGGTGTCGTCTGTCCAGGCCGGTACGCCTGGCGGCCGGTAACCGCCTTGTACACCGACCGGGGCGTCTTCACCACAATGCTCTTCCTCAGCTTCGCCTTGCTCCCATCCGCACGCACCTCCGTGGGGAACAACCGCTCCAACTCCACCATCGTCGCATGCACTATATCCTCATCGCTCCTCCCAATCCACTCTTTCGCCGGCGCAAACACCAGCTCCAGCATGCTCGCGTTCTCATCCGCATACCCCTTGCAAGTCACCGACATATCTGCATACACAGAGAGCAGCTTCGAGCGCGAGAACAGCAGATGATCGACGGTTTTCAGCTTCCGGTCGAACCAGAGGTGGACGTTGATGACTGGCACGCCCTCCAGCCCGTCGAGCTTCTGGAAGAAGGGGTCGGCTTTCCAGGCGGGCGGGAGGAGCAGCTTGAGGGGGTCGACGGGCATGGCGGAGACGTAGAGGTCGGCCGTGACGGTCTCCCCGCCCTGGAACTTGAGGCACTTGACTGAATTGTCCTCGTTCAGCTCGATGCTCTGCAGCCGCTTCTCCAGCAGCACCTGGGATAGCAGGGAATTGGGGAGTGGCATGGTGAATTTTGAGGGATAGCAGGGTGGCAAGGCATTGGAATAAGAAGGGGGGTGGGGGTGCAGGGAAGGGGTGGGTTGGGAAAGGGGAGGAGGGAGGGGCTGAAAGGAAGGAAGGACTCATAATGAAAACCTACCTCTTCCATCACTTGCTCCTCACCTACCTCTCTCACTGACCTCCTCTCACCCATCGACCCTATCGCCCTCCTCTGCTGCAGACATGACAGCCTTCCTCAACTGCTTCCCCAAGCCCTTGAGAGTGGAATATTGTACCACGCGCAACAGCCTCTATGTGTCTAACACCTGTTGCTGTCCAGAATACCAAGAACACACCTAACGCCTGAAACACCACGGTCAACTGTAACTGTCTTGGTTGGGTTCCAAGTAAAAATCGAACCCAGCTTCTGCCCTATACCCTCTGCGCCCTGTGCGCTCCTATCTTCTATGCTGCCGGTGCCACTACCCTATCCTCTGCACATGCCCACAGCACCAGCAAACTCCTCCCTTTCCGGCTGTGCATTGTCAGCGTGCATTCCTTCCATCTATGCACTTTAGACGACCACACAGTCGACACGCCCTCCCTCGCGCAACCCGTCCCTTCGTTTTCTGCTGCATCAACTGCTGCGCCACACCCCACTTCTCTTATCTCACATCCCCTCCCTTAGCACACATCGGCACTCCACGCCATGGCTGGCACACACGGGTGAGGGCACTCAGAAACACTCCCCAGTCGCCCCTGAACCCTCATGCTCAGCACTCTCGCTCACCTGTCCGCCGCCCTTGGTAATGTGCTCCACCATGGGCTCGCACAGGCGCGTCGTGGGCGGGCCGTCCAGGAACGCCATCTTCGACCCGTGCCTCTCCTGGAGTAGGGGAAGAAGGAAACAGGATGGGAGGGGAGGGATGGGATGGGGGACGAGGGCGAGGAGTTTGGTTGGCGCCTGGTCCCAGGTGATGAGGTCTCTATGCTTACCCAACGAAGCGAGAAAGAAACTTGAATACTTAAAGGAACCGGCTTAATGTCGTGACCAAATACATGTACCGCATGTTACAATTGTAACCGTCATTCATGGCAGCGGGAAACTCACCTGGAGGAAGCGGTTCATGGCGGTGAGGATGACGGTGGAGGAGATTTCCCAGGGGTCGATGAAGTTGAGCGCCTTGGCCATGGCGATGAACACCTCCTCGTTCACGCGCTCCGGCACGCCCTGCTTGCGCATCCAGTCCGAGATCGACAGCCCGTCCTGCTTCTCCACGTACGATTGCCCCTGTAACCGGGTAACCAGAAATGATGGAGCACGTGTGAGCGGGTGCGAAGTTGGACGCGGGCGGGGGCGCGGGATGCAAGCATCTTGTAAGGCGTCGAGCAATTTTTCAATTCTCGTCTCTCATATCTCATATGTCTCACCTCTCATCGCCAATCTCTCATCTCTCAATCATTGGCTCCCATCGCTCAAAATTCGTTGCTCAACTCTCTCACCGCTCATCTTATCTTTCGATTCTCAGGGCCAACCATGAAGTCCTGGGAGCGGGTCGGCCTTTGCGTGACGATCACGCTATCGAACCCTTGCTGATGCTGACCTGGATCATGGCGGGAAGAAGACCGATGCCGAAAAGAACCTTCTCCGGCCACGTCAGCATGTCGTTGTTGCGGAGGATGGCGACGACGCCGTTGGCGGGCGCGGGGATGTCGGGGAAGTCGAAGCGGGAGAATTCCCCAGGCTTGTCGGGCATGGCGAAGATCATCGAGTGCTCCTTCCATTGCAGCCGGTCTTCAATGTCCAGCTCCTTGAATAGCTGCGGAAGAGGGAGGGGGGGGGGGGTGGGGGGGAAGCGAATTTTGCACAGTGGCACTTTCTGCTTTTCTAATTGACCAATGGAGATCTGACTCTTGTTGATTCGTTAGCTGTTCAATGACTCAGTTCCCCCAGCTGCCACCTGAACAAAGTCTCAACTCAAGCATCCTGTACAGAGGATAGTGTTCAGATTCAGCCATCACAGCCATCACCAAACCATCACAAACACTAACCGAGCACGGTATTTCGATACCGGATTATTTTAGCCTCCTTTGAAACCTCCATTGCACCTCTCCCCTGCTTACCTCCATCATGTTCGGGTAGGCTCCGAAGAAAATGTGGAGACCGGTCTCGTACCAGTCGCCCTCCTCATCCTGCAAACCGAATCAGATGTTTAACAATAGCAGCTTAGAAACATCTCAACACACAACGGGACACGAATGCTGAAAATAGCAGCATTGGCGACCGTATTGACAAATCGAAGACTCAAAATCAAGAAAACATTCACAAGAACGATCGCGAGTTACAAGTTGAACGCACCTGCCACGCGGCAACCTTCCCGCCAAGCACGTCGCGCGCCTCGTAGACGGTGGGGATGTGCCCCGCATCCACCAGGTACTTCGCCGCGCTCAACCCGGCCAATCCGGCGCCGATGATTGCAACTTTCAACGGCTTCTCGGGCCGCGGAAGGTTCTTAAAAGAGGCTGAGAGTTGCTGAGCCTCCCGCTGCGGCTCGGAGTCGAAATCCGGCTTCGGGTAATCCTTGCACCGGAGGTTTCCGGGCTGGTTCGTCCTGGTCTGGTGCTGCACGCGGTTAGCTGACGTGGCATTGACACGGGTGGATTTCGTGGCTCCGAATGTGGCGGACGACGCGAAGGCAAGCTGCTGAGCTGTCGCTGGAGCAACCGAGCGTTGCGAGAGAGCGGAAATCGAATCAGCTCCTGCAGTCAGAGCAGCGTTCGCGGCGTTGGTTGCAAGCGCCATGGCTGCTTCTAGAGCAGACGAGGGCTGGGATCAATGGTACTCTAGACCGAGTGCTGGTCGGAAATTTATTAGGACCTTCTGAATCAGCAACGCTGACAACAAGCCTGCAAACGAATGTCCCAGACAAGCAGCTGTTTCTGGTGGCTGATCCTACAAGCAAATGACCTGAAGTATGCAGGGCGAGGGAGGAGCACCACAGTGACCCACCAACCAGTAGCCAGCCAGCCACAGAGCTCAATGTCACGGAGAAGGCAGCACTCATCCAATCAGAATGCAGATTGCGGATCATGGATTCCATCCATCCCCCTCGAGGCTTGGTTGGTTCCTGCCTTGGTAGCTCCCAGCGTCGCTCAAGGGGGGAGAATGGTTTGTGCTGTGTACGAAACTGTAACAGTACAGAGTTTGGCTTCACAATTCATTTTGCCTGTGATAGCTCTCGCGCGCTCTCCATCCGACATTTTGCGACACGGGTTACATGGCTTCGGTAGATTCGCGAACCCGTGTTCGTCCTCATCTCCTCTTCGCCTTGAGCACCACTCTTTGCCACATAAGCTGTCTCCAACCAATCCTGTGCGTGCAACGTCAGCGCCCGAAGGGCTCTGTTCCGTGATGCGAGTGGAAGCCAACTATGAAAGGACTTTCCTTGTGGCACGTCATCGTTTCAACGAAAGCGGATGATCCCAAACCAGGACCTTTCGACGTGGCACACGCGAGTTCCCAGAGACGCTATCCACTCGAACTCGCCCATTTGTTGCCACGAGTTCCATCCACAATATAGTACATCATTTATGGAAACGAAGTTAGCCTCAGCGTGTCAAGTTTTGCACTGTAAACATACAAGCAGAGCATGTATTTATCGGGTTTGTATTCTAATCGGCATGAACAAAGTCGGGTTTAGAGTGTGGGAAGGGAGGAGCATTGCTCCGTCATCGCAGGTGCCAACAACTGCGGGGACGGCTGGCCGTCAGCACCGCAGCACAGGTCCGTCACACCACACATCACGCGGGTACGAAATGTTGACAGGCACGTTTCATAGTTCCGCTAAGTGTTGGGCACCAATACCGCGCGAGTCAATCTCCTGAGATGGGATGGGGGCCACCAACGCTCCTCAATTCCAGGACGCCCGCACTTACAGCACGGGCAAAAAGAAGCGAGTCCCAGATTCCGTCATCGTTAACGTTGATGTCTGTTCAGCCAGAACACAACACATGGTTCCTCTAGACGACACGGCATTTTGTGAGCAGTCTGTGGCATTTCTGGCTTGCGCCAAAGTCGGTCCAATAGCTGCCCGATTAGGAGCTCCCAGGTTTTGCGTTGAGGGCGTCGAATGCGCGACGTGGGTTCTTAGATTCGTGTCGTGCCTATTCTGACAGCGCAGCAGCCATGGAATATCTCCGTCGTCTTGCGACGTTCCTCTTCGTATTCGTTGTCGTCGGCTCGTCGCTCGCCGTCGCTCGGGCGTCGTTCATCGTGCAGACGCACAGCATTCAAATCACAGAGCCAAAGAGCATTCGCGGGACGTACGACAGCGCAATCGCCAACTTCGGAGTGCCTCAATACGGCGGCACTCTAACGGGCGTGATTGTGTACTTACAGAACAACAAGGCGGGATGCACGAAACTATCCAAGTCTGAGGCCTTTAAGAAGGGCGTCGGTCAGCGACCCACTATTCTTATGGTCGACCGAGGAGGTAGGTCGCTTCTTACGTCGTGCTTAGAGACGTCGTTAAATCGTAAGCGCGAAGCTGTCGACGTCTGCTTCTTAACCCATCATTGCTCCTATGGTTGACCGAAGATTTGGACCCCTCTTTGTGTTCCCATTTATCATGGTCTTAAGGCGAGACATACAACTTCGTTTTCCCTCCGAATTTGTTGCGACTGACCCACGATTTCGAAGGTCGATTGAGCATGTAGGTCACTGAAAATTCAATTTCTCATATCAGTTAGTAGGTCACGCATAGTTCTACGTCTCTTTCAGATTCTTACAGAATCCCGTGTGAGGCAGTTCACATTCGCTTACAATCCTTCACACAATCCTTTACTTCGAAAAGGTCATCGTAGGAATGATGGAGCGAGCAGGTCACTCACATGTCACTCTCACGACGTACGTATGTCACTGGTAGCTTCGCCTCTCTGAAATGGTCATTGCTCGCATTGCTGTGCGGCCGACGATGTTTGGCTCGTTTCTGAAGATTTATCATGCCTGAGGATGTCTTGAAGTTCACTCAAAATCCATATGATGTCGCTTCTATGCGGGCAATGTTTCTCAAGCCGTGCTACGCGAGCTCGCGCGTGATTTTTGAGGCTCCTCAAAAGCGGGTGCGTCAGGCGCGCTGCCGGAAGACGCGGACACAGGGTCGCTCGGGACCATGGAGACGCCTTTTGAGAACTTTTGAGACGTCTCAAAAGAGAACAAGGACAGCGCGCCTCAAAATCCCTGGTAGCGGACACGGACACAGAATCGCCTGTCACCATGGAGGCCCCTGTGGACGACCAGGACACCGACCGCTACGTCAACAAAATCACCATCCCCTCCCTGCGCCCTCTGCTCCTCCACTTACTACTCCCGTCCCCCCTGCCAACTCACCCGCATTCCCCCGCCTCCCCACTCCCCTCCTCCCTCCCTCCCTCCCCCCCTCCTCTCTCTCCCCCCCTCCTCTCTCTCCCCCCCCCAGACTGCTACTTCAGTCAGAAGGTGTGGTATGCGCAGCTGGGCGGAGCATCAGCAGTGCTCGTAGCAGACACGGACACAGAATCCCTGGTCACCATGGAGGCCCCTGTGGACGACCAGGACACCGACCGCTACGTCAACAACATCACCATCCCCTCCGCGCTCATCGAAAAAGCCACCGGGGATAAGATCCGCTCAGCTCTCTCCTCTGGGAACATGGTCCTGGTGGACCTGGACTGGCGGGAGACTCTGCCTCACCCGGACGAGAGGGTGGAGTATGAGCTCTGGGGCACGAGTAACGACATCTGCGGGCCGAAATGCAACGACCTGACCAACTTTCTGGATAAGTTCAAGGGCCTGGCGATTACCCTGGAGCAGGGGGGGTATACGCTCTTCACGCCGCACTATATCACGTGGTACTGCCCTCCGGATGAGGTGGACTCCATAGCCTGCAAGAACCAGTGCATTCACAAGGGGAGGTACTGTGCGCCGGATCCGGAGAGTGACTTCGAGGAGGGGTACGATGGGAAGGATGTGTTGGTGGAGAATTTGAGGCAGCTGTGTGTGTGGAAGTGGGCGAATGGCACGGGGAAGCCGTGGGTGTGGTGGGACTATGTCACGGATTTCAGGAAGCGGTGCAGCATGGCTGATAAGATGTTCAATGCGGTGTGCGCCGAGACCGTTCTCACTTCCCTGGGTGAGTGAGACCTTCTTGCTGCTTCTTTGATAGATTTTTACCAGAACCCAATGCTCACGGGTATACATGCATGCATACCCTGATGGGACAAGATTGAGGGAGGAAGCGGTGCAGCATGGCTGATAAGATGTTCAATGCGGTGTGCGCTGAGACCGTTCTCACGTCGCTGGGTGAGTGAGACGCCTTGATGCTCCCTCGTTGCCCCTCTACCATGTCGGTGTGCAGCGTGCAGCAAGCAGCATATGCTACTGCCAGGACGAATTTCGAGATCAAAACATGTTAAAACATATAAAAACATATAAAAACATATCAAAAGCCATGAATGTGGAGCTGCTCCCATGCAGGACCCGTCTCCCCTCCCCCTCTCCCCCTCAACCTCCCCTCCCCTCCCTTTCTCCCCTCCGCCCTTTCCCCCTCTCCCCTCTCCCCTTTTCCCACTCCTCCCCCCGCCTCTCTCCCGTGTCCTTTTTCCCTCATCCCCCCCCCTCCCCCCCAGCAGGCATTGACGTGCGCAACGTGCGCTCGTGTGTGGGCGATCCCACGCAGGACGTGGACAACCCGCTGCTTTTTGGGAGTCACTTTTTGAGAATTCTCAGACGCGATTCCGCACTCTCCTCCTCGCCCTTCCCCTCATCCCCCCCTCCACCCCCCCCCCCCCCTCGCCCCCCCCCGCCAGGCATTGATGTGCGCAACGTGCGCTCGTGTGTGGGCGACCCCACACAGGACGTGGATAACCCGCTGCTGCAGCAGCAGGAGGACGCGCAGGTGGGCGATTTGGGGGGGGGGATGGGCGTGTTAGTGGGAGGAGGGTTAGTGGGAGGGGGTGCAACACAGGACGTGGATAACCCGCTGCTGCAGCAGCAGGAGGACGCGCAGGTGGGCCGTGCTTTTTGGGTCCCTTGGGGGAGAAGGGGAAGGGGGGAGGAAAAAGGGGGGAAAAGGGGGGGAAAGGGGGTGGGGGGGAAAGGGGGGGAATTTTTGCCCCTTCCTGTGCATGCGATGCCATCATCTCATGTCGTATTTTTGTACTCCTCGTGTTGTCATTTCTTTCTTCTCATTCATCTCTGAACCCTACACTGCCATTCTCATGGTACCTTCCTCTCACCCGCCTCGCCCCTTCTCCCCCTCCTTCCCCCTCTCCCCCTCCTTGTCCCTCCTTCCCCCTCCTTCCCCCTACTTCCCCATCCTTCCCCCTCCTTCCCCCTCCTTCCCATCCTCCCCCCTCCTCCCCCCTCATTCCCCCTCCTTCCCCCTCCGTCCCCCTCCTTCCCCCTCCGTCCCCCTCCTTCCCTCTCCTTACCCTTCCTCCCCCCTCCTCTCTCTTCCTCCCACATCCCCCCCCAACCACCCGCAGGTGGGTAAGAATGGGCGCAGTGACGTCACCATCCAGCCCACGCTGGTGATCAACAACGAGCAGTACCGAGGTAGGTGCATTTGGGGGCAGGGGGGAGGTGGGGAAGAAGGGGAGGTGGGGGAAGAGGAAGGTGGGGTCATTCTCGAGTCGACTCAAAAGGCGTCACCATCCAGCCCAGCCCACCTGGTGATCAACAACGAGCAGTACCGAGGTAGAAGCTGGGGGCTGGGTGCAGGTGGGGGAAAGGGTGCGCAGGCAGGGTGCAGGTGGGGAAAGGGT